TTCTTTGGTGTTATTCTTCAACATCAGGGAGCAAGAACTCGTTACTGGTCAACAGCCGTAACAACATCTCATTTAAATCTCCCCCCCCCTCTCTCCCTCTCTCTTTCTCTCTCTGTATTGGAGATGGAACCCAGAGGTATTTAACCACAGAGCCACATCCCCAGTCCTTTTTGTATATTTTATTTAGAGACAGGGTATTGCTGAGTTGCTTAGGGCCTCACTAAGTTGCTGAATCTAGTTTTGAAATTGTGATCCTCCTGATTCTGCTGCCACAGCTTCTGGGATTATAGGTGTGCACCCAGCTACATTTCTCTTATTCTATAAGGAAGTCTCTACTTTCTATTATTCTACTGCTCTCTTACTATCAAAGTGGCCTGGGTTTCACTTTTTTATGGACAAGTGTGATTCTCTGATTTCTTTACCCATTTTTAGCAGTCAGTGGCTCTATCCTATCCCAGCTCTTTGTACATGTCGGTGAAACCTCATTTTCTCTATGTACAAATATGATCAACTAAAAAGACTAAGGGTAATCAGATTATTAGACTGAATAATTAATGATTAAAAACTTGAACACAAGGCTCAAGTTTTTTCATAAACACTATTCCAGAATCTTAAAACATTTTCCTTTAAAAATAGTTTTCCTTAAAATATATTTACTTTTCTACTTTCCAAAAAATAGCATTCTATTTCATATGTATACCTCCATCCTCAAGCCTCCCCTACCAGTTTGTTCCATCTCACATGTATCTGAATATATCAGTTATTCGGAAACTCATTTATCTTTCCATCACCAAATCAACAAAGTACTTGTATTAATTAATTTCTTTTCCAGCATCTGCAGAGTTACAATGGAGAGTGTGTTCTTCCAACAATCAGACCCATCCTTTCTCAAGTAATCTGGATCCTATCCTTCTCATATTCTGAAGGACAGAACTTTTCTTCATCTCTCTGACCTCAAGAACCTCTTTTGCTATTGAATTGTTCCCAGCAGTATGCAAAAATGCTCCAGTATTGGTCAACTTTTCTTTTAACCTTTCCTTATTTCATATTCTTTTTCAGCAACTTAGTTCTATAGCAAAAAAATTCTTGAAAGTTAAACTTCACAATTCTCATTGGATTCTCTTACTCTTCATTCTCCTCATTCTTCCTTCCAATCCCTTCGACCTAATGAATACTTTCCCATTCTTAGATTCATAAACGCTTCAGCAACATTTAATGCTTTGAACGCTAACACATTTTGGAACCACTCACTCAGTCTCTGTGTGCAACTCCACACTCTCCAGTGCCTGGCTGGCTCCCACTGATTCACACTTTCCATGTGGCCTTGTAAGAGTCCCTCATTTTGATTGTGGGCTGGACTTAGGGACTTACTGCTAAATGAATAAAATATGGCAAAAGGGATGTGATGACATTTTTGAGATTAGATTACAAAAGACTCTAGTTTCTATCTTGTTCACTCTGTCTTGCTCTCTTTTTCGTTTTGTGGAAGCCAGATGCCTTGTTGTGAAAAGGTCTGCATGGTAGTGAGGATGATGATGATGAAGATGATGATGATGATGATGATAATAATAATAAACAAAATTGAAGGAAATCTTTGAGCAATAGCCAGTGAGGAACTGGATCCTGACAACAACCAACTGGTGTATTCAGAAGCACATCCACCCAAGTCTCGAGATGACGGTAGCTCCAGCTAATACCTCAACTACTACCTGTAATAATCCCTGGTCCAGAGGACCCAGTTAAGCTGAGCTTAGGTTCCTTATTCAGACAGGCTGTGAGAAAATAAATACTTGTTGGTTTACATTGTAAAATCTTAGAGTAATCTGTTAGTTAGTCATAGATAACTAAAATATGGGGCTACAGATCATGGACTAAATCTGGCCCACCACCTGGTTTTGTACTGCTTATAAGCACAGAGAGGCTTTTATATTTTTAAATGGAAAAAATGAATATAAAAAGAATAATACTACTTTATGAAATGTCAAAATTTATGTAAAATTTAAATTGTGTTCATAAAGAAAGCTTTTTTTGGAACACAGTCATGCACATTCACTTATGTTTTGTCTATAGCTGCTTTATACCATTACCGCAGAGAGAAAGCAGTTGTTAACAGAAACCTCTTATGGTTTGGAAAGCCTAAAATATCTCTACCAGAAAAGTTTTTTTTACTTCTTGTCCACCTTCTTTGCTAGTTCTACTTTCCTTTGTTATGGCTTTTATTGGGTGCATTATAATTATACATAATAGTGGGATTCATTGTGACAAGTCTATATAGTCACATAATTTGATCAATCTCATTCCCCCGTATCCTGCCTTTCTCTCTCCTCCTCCCTCCCAATCCTTCTATCTTTAACTCTTAAAAAATGGACAATGGGGGTGCAGTTAGCTCCTCTATTTTTAACTAAAATATTCTATTAAACTACATATTTTTAGAGAATAAGTAGTTGTTATAAATACTGAAGATGAAAACTAGCTAGGCACAGTGGCACCTTCCTGTAACCCAACAACTCAGAGTCTAAAGCAGAAGATTGTAAGTTTGAAACCAGCCTCAACAACTTCAGAGACTCCATATCAAAATAAAAAATACTGGAGATGTAGCTCAGTGTCAAAGCATTCCTGGGTTCAATCCCCAGTGTTCATCCCCCCCCCAAAAAAAAACAAAAGAAAGAAAAGAAAAAGAAATGAAGACTGTAGTTTATATAGAATAATCTACAAAATGTATAAAAGTCTGATGTAGCTGCCTCACTTCAGCCTTGCTGGTAACCTACCACACGCCTGCCCAGAGAGCTTTGATGTCCTAGCCCATGTGCCAGGGCCCTCAGCACCCACCACATCTCAGCACCCTTGGCAGGCAACCATGCTGCTAAGCAGGGAACTTCATCTCTGAGACTTGCCATGACCCCTGTGCTGCTCTCATGAGAGTCAATTCAAGTACCATGGAGCTACTGCTGCTGTTCTGCAAAGATGCAAAATATGACAATGAGAAACCAGAAAATAGAACTTTATATAATAACAGAAATCACTATAGTTAAAGTAAAGACATGGTTGAAACTCTTCCTAAAACACTAAAATCCAGACTTTTTTTTTTTCCTCTTCTTCCTTTTCATTACCTGATATATGGGTCTCAGGATCTTGATAAATTGCTGAGGTTGGCCTTGTATATGTAATCTCCCTGCCTTAGCCTCCCAAGTTGTTGGGTTTACAGGTATATGCCACTGTGCAGGGCTAACAGTAAGTCTGAAAATCTTCCACAGGAGTATGTTTGTCACTTATAAGAAATTTCAGAGTTAAGAGGAAAAATTTAGTATATGGACAAGTAGAATATGTGGTCTTTTTTATGAGTAGGTCAAGAACCCTTCCAGTGGCTAACCTAGAGGATGCAAGAACCTCTACAATTGTATTTTTTTTAATGAATAAAGTAGCAGGAATGAAGGATGCACATACATTCAAATCAACTTCCACGTGTGAGAGAAAATATTCAACCCTTGAGTTTGTAGATCTGGCTTACTTCACTTAGCATGATGTTTCATCCATCCATTTTCCAGCAAATGACATTTTATTTTTTTTATGGTTGAATAAAACTCTTGTGTGTGTGTGTGTGTGTGTGTGTGTGTTACTATAAATATTGGTATGCATATACTAATACGGCACTGTGAATCCTCACTATAATACACTAATAACATTATTAATATTCTGAAGAGCTTTTGTTTAAGTAGTTTGTATTTATTGATTTTTATTCTATTAGAAACTAAATATGAAATATTTAAAATACAAGCATGCATGGTCATATGTACCAATAGCCATTATGACCCAGGAATCACTAAAGCTATGATACCATGAGACATCACATATTTGAAAAACTTCACTGTGTACTATAATGAGAATAAGTGAAAATAAAAATGTTTAGTATTATTTGACCTCTTGGACTCAATGAATGAATCTTAAATTCTAGGGATTTTAGAACCATAGATATAAGTAATATATAAAGTTCATGGAATCAAATGATAAAGTGGACTTTAATGATGAAATGGTTCTGGGTGCAAAGTGATACAGAATATCAGGAAGGAAGGATTCAGTGGAGGAAAGCTATTCAGCTCATGTTGGACAGGAAGGAGAAGCGGGTTGGGGGAGACAGAGAGAGAGAAGAAAATGAATGAGAGCTGGATGGAGGTGTGTGTATGAGGAAGATCAAACCTTTCAGGGTACATCCCTAGTGATTCATCTCCAGATACACCTACCTGCATTTCACCTCTGAACATTTCTGTAATAACACAGGAGCTTTTGGGGGACACCTCATACCCCTACCATAAAAGGGGATTCATTATTTAGTTTTTGTTTAGTTTTGGGATGGGGTCTCTCTATTTTGCCAAGCTGACCTTTTACTCACAACCTTCCGCCTCAGCAACTTGAGTAGACAGTGCCCAGAGGGATTAATTCTTTTAATCTTCCTAAAAATGTCTATTATTTTGTACTTGGGACAAATTCTTACCAGAGAAATTACATTCTAAAGCAAAGGGAGTAAAGATATTAACACATCTGCATTTGGTTCAGAGTCTCCTCTTTAGAGCAGAGCTTCATGTGGGATTAACTTTTCTGTGTACACTTAGTCATTCTAGCAGATAAGAGAAGCCATTTAATCTATGTTCATCTGAAAAGAATATTTTGGTATACATATTGGGGGACGTAACAAAATTCATAATGCAATCCGTACTTTTGTCAAAGTACTAATTCAGGTGAAATTAGAAAATTTGGTAGGATTTCAGAGATATTTGTGACTCTGAGAACATTGAAATAATGAAAAAACGGCTGAAAAGACTGCTGCTCAGCAGCATCCAGAGTAATTTCCTCAAAATCTTTCAGTAGTCTCACATTTCACTTTGGGCCAAGCAGCAGACGTGGAAAAGTAGTTAGAAATGATCAATGAGCGAGTAATGCCAAAGAAACTGAATGGCCTGGAGAGAAACTGGGAAGTCTCCCAGTCACAGAAGAAAGTCAGTAAAATAGAGGTTGAGGTAGAATGCAGGGCACGGAGATGAACAAGGCCTGAGGCATGGCAAAATAATGCACAAGAAGGCCAACAGGGCCTGCCAGAAAAGACATGTGCAGGAAAAGGAGGACAGGAGCACGAGTCCTGCCCGGTCAAAATGGAGAATGCATTTATAAATGTCTTTCAGGTGAGCCAGCTTTTTAGAATGAATTTCAATGACAAAGGCATATTTGGGGGACAGGATGGGGTAGAGGAAACAGAATATTTAAGAAGGCACAGAGTTATATAAATTTAATCAAGTAATGATTCTTGAAATAGTTGAGTATTCTTCTTAATATGCTACTGTACTTTAAAATACGAGTGTTTTTTGTTCTTCAAAGAGAATTTGAGGATTACGGTATCCCCTGCCCACAGCCCTGAGCCGCAGTGAGGGTTGGGGCTGGGAGGGGAATTCACACAGTTAGCAGTCACTGGGAAATATCTCTCCCTGGGTAACTTTGCATCAGCTAGATTCCAGTGAGTTACTAAAAAGGCTGCTACAATGATTTTCTTGAACATTCCAGTTGAGAACAGAACCTAGCTCTTCACAATCTCATCTTCTTTTCAAGGGGGTCTGATTGTTGGAGTGGGTGCTCCGAGGTACCCAGCGAGAGGTAAGCAACCCATTATTGGTGTCACCTTTCAGAATTCATCTGAAAGGGTCAGGAGAAGGAGTCTCTCTCTACAACACACCAAGACATCTCTGCCCAAAGGGAAGAATTCATCTGACCAGGGAGAACAGGGAAGAGCTTCTTCAGACTTCTTTATGTAAGTCCAATTCCTGTGGAAAAACAACAAAAGACATACCTGCCTGTTGTATTTATTGTTTACAGGACTTGGCAGGGAAAGACTACATAGATACACACACACACACACACACACACACACACACACTTTTAAAAATGAACAAAAGATCTGAAGTCAAATAGAGAGGATAAAAATGAGAAAAATACAGACTAGGAGCATTACTGCAATTGCGCTCTAAAGTTAGCCTAATTTCTTGACAGTCAAAACACACCAGGAAACACAATGGACTATATATTTCTCGTGGTCTGATAAAATTGAGCATGCTAGTTCTCAGGAGTGACAATTTCCTCAGATTCTAGCTCAACTCTCAAATTCCGGCTTCTCTTTATCATCACTGATTCAAATCCAGTCCACTCCAAACTACCAGGATCTCTCATCTGGATTATTTTAACAGTCTCCAATTAGTGACTTCAGATTCTAGTGTAGTATCTAGGCTCACCAGTGCTTTTTAAAAATGCAAATATAATCACATCTCATTGCGTGAAGGACAGAATGTAAAATCCTAAGTGCTGCATACAAGGCCTGGCACCATCTGGTCCCAGCCCACTTCTCTAGCATAATGACAACATGAGTCCAGGCATGGGCTTTGCTTGGTGGGCACTCTCTCCTCTCCTTTAATAGCTAACTCACACCCCCATTGTTTTACCCCTGGATGCCCCATAGATTTTACTATCTGATCTGAACATCAACGATGTTCTTTTGGGAGGCCAGATTTCAGCACAGCCCAAAGTGGTTCTTAATCTGTAGTAAAAGTGTCTGAGCCTATTTATTAGATTATTATTATATTCTTTTAATCATTAGATTCTTTTCCTTGAATATCTGTAGCTTCTAAGAACTAATTAAGCTAATTAGTTTTTAGCTAATAATTAGTTATGAATCATTCTCATGATCCCACTAAGAGGTGTGAAAACAAGATTGCTGCTAACATCACGTTTGGTTTAAGCAACATGAGTTTGCTCAGTCAGCAGCTGAACAGAGGGACTGATATAGAATTAAGTGCTTTTCTCCACATCCCAAACACTTCGTATTTATCTAGTGAAATATCATTAATTATGTTCACTGTGGTAACAAAAATGTATTCTGGTGTTAATTGTAGATAAAGGTATTTGAAGTGCCATGGAAGTCTCTCTTTTTTATTAAATGCCAACTAACCAGCACTGAAGTATGTGTAACCACGAACTAAAAACACACTTCTATGGAGGCAGTTTCTTAGGCTAAAAAATTTTAAAGTAAATTGCTGACCACATTAAAGGCATGCAGCATTCCAGAAAGCTATAATAATACTGAAAGATAACTGAAATAGAATTTGGATGAGAGATAGATGAACATATTTCTTAGACATGTAATCAAATGTATAATTTTTCTTTACCTGTATTTTAATAGAATTTGCAGAGACATCAGTGTGATGGAATTTTCAAGCAGAATATTTCCTGTGTATGCTGAAAAATGATTGGTTTGCCTTTTTTTGGTGGCAAAATTGATATTAACTAAAAATACAGAAGCATTTTGGACAGAGGGCTGAATTTTAAGCTGTGAAATTCTTCTAGAGCAACAGTTGATACTATTCAGGGGCTGTACTAGGTATCATGCCGCAGTAAGATTTTCACAATGGTGTTCTGAAGCCAATTTTGGCCTGGGATATTTTAAGGTAAATATTCTGGCTTGGCCTTGATGAGAAAATAAATTTGCTGCACTTTCCACAGAATAACTTGTTCTTAACGTTGCTTCCAATGGGATAATTTGCAATCAAGTTGATTTTTCCCTTTCGGTCATTACATAGATTACTTAGGATCCACATTTTATCATCATTTACTTCATTGTCATCAACAGCACATCATGAGCAATGATATATTTCTCAAATTATTCCTAAGTGTAAGGCTATGTATAAGGCTTATATAGGGGTTCACAGAACATGCCAAACACATAGACTTTGAGGTTATTTTATTAAAAGTATGTTTAAATTTTATATCCTTAAGGAAATTATTTCAGAAGACTTCAAAAATCTTTTTTAAACATCTATTTGGTGAAGAGGGAGAGTGTACACTAGGCCTGTCTATCCATGACTCTAAAATATGTATTATCTAATTCAAAAATATATTTGTATTTATGGAGAGGGTTTTTATTGATATAAAAATATTTATATTATACTTTTAATATCACAGTAAAAAACAGTAAAATCTGACAGGCTAGTTTTATAAATGTCAAAATCTCCCTTCAAACTATTATACATATTATTATGCAGATATTCAGATTGTTTATATAACATAGAACAAAACTTGTGAGATTTATTTCATTTTATTTGATCTCATACAGTATGATTCCATTGTTCTAACAACTATATAAACTGATTGATCAATACATAAATGTGAATGTGCCTACATGTGCATGGAAGGAGTCTAGAAAAATACACAGGAAACTGTTAATATTAATAGTAGTTTCTTTTGGGAAATAATTGGTGGGTGATAAAAGAACTTTATTATTTTATAATGGAAATTTAAAAATATACAAAAACAGAACAGTTTAACCAACATACCATCATCTAGCTTTAACAATCATATATTTCCTGTTGTTCTTGTTCTGTTTCATTTATCAATTTCCATGTTTTTAATCTGTCTATCTCTTTTTAATCTGTAACAGTCCCCCCCCCTTTTTTCCATTTACTTATCAATGAAATTAGTTATTCATTGTCTAGAATGTCCCATATTCCGGATTTTGGCGATTGTATTCCTGATGAACCATTTAATATATTTCTCTATTCTCTGCATTCCTTGTAGAGATGTGATTAGATTCAAGGTTTATTTCAAGTGTTTGGTTCAGGGTCTGGGATCTGTCAGGTCTGGGATGGCCCCAGTTGGATCAGTTCTCACTTTTCCGTGTGGTCCCTCCTTGTAGTAGGTTACCTCAGGTTTATTCTCAGAGATTGCCATGGCCCAAAGATGGAAGAAGAAACTCTCAAGCGCTTTTTCAGGCCTGTTCTAACTGACACAGGATAAAGTAGGTCACATGACTGAGTTCAAAGAATGGGAAGTCAGTTTATTTAGGCCTTTTTCAGGAAATATTACAACATTGGGTTGTATTATCATATTAAATTGATCAATAGATTCAGGTGTTATCTGTCTGATTCCTCTCTTTTGATTAATGATTACACATTAATTCTACCATTACTTCTGCATTTATTTTCCTGCATTTAGATTTTTCTGTAAAGGAATACTTACCCCCATCAATTATTTGATTATATTGAAATACAGGATAGATGCTTGTTTCTAGGTTCTTGCTTGTTTTCAGAATAGCGATCAGTACCTTACCATTCAAGCATTCCAAGGAGGGGACCAGTGAATTTTGTTATTTTTTTTTTAGATGTCACTATTAAAATTCATGGATTTTTAACCCATTTAATGTGTCTTAGTTCACTGTAGTCATTAGTCCTTTTTATGTTCGGGTTGTCCTATATTTTCCTAGAAGGAGTCAGTGTACAAATCATTTTGATGTGGTTCCAGATAGTTCTGTTTCTCAGATGACTAGATCTTCTAAGAAGCTTATTGTATTATAGAGGTATACTTGGAATTTTTGTAATTATTCAGGATGTGTCTATATGTTAAGGACTCCTAGTTCCTTTTTCTAGAGAATAATTTAGAGACCACAATCTGGGTCCTAGAACTAGAGTTTAAAACCATAGGTTCTCTGCAGGGACAACATAGTTATTCTTGCATACATGGCAGACAATACACACACCATTTGTTGGCCTGTTTCAGTGTACCAACCTCCATCTCATTCTTCTAGGAACAGCATTCCATCATCTGGGGATGTGCTCCTTTTCTCAGCCCAGTTGTTTGTTTCCAGCCATCACATCCTGCCCTGCTGGGTCCAAGTGCAGGCATGTCACCAAAGCCCCTTGTAACATTATTTGAACTTGAAATAATGTTAATTTACAAAAAAAAAAAGGAGAAGAAGATGAGGAGGAGGAAGAGGAAGAGGAGAGAAAGAAAAAGGGAAAAAGAAATGAAAAAATTCAGAGATTGAAGCTTTGTTGCTGTCACCAGTTATATTTTTCTACCACATATAAGAAGCTGGTTTGACATCCTTGGTGGCTTCAGTGTCTATGGGGATGTTCCCTCTAAGGCTGCGATCTCAGCTATCTCCAACCTTCTCAAGCTCCTTGGCTTGGATTTTCTTTTACTTTAACCTCTCCCTCCCAGGACCGCACATTGAACTGTTTCATTAATTGGAAGTGTTCTACCTCTGAAATCTCGGCCCTTATAGCCCATCTCAATGATCACAATCATTTTCACCAGCACTCTCACTATGACATTTCTGAAATATAAATTTTATCTCCTACTGAGATCACTGGACCCTGATTGACTTCTCAGGATTTGTTAATTCTTTCTTATTTTCCTTTTCCAGCCTATCCTACAAGATCCCTGTCTTTAGCTGCATGAATTGTTCCTAGGTCCTTTTACCACAGCCTGCCTGAGCAACTAAATCATTATGAAAACAGTCTATTCTCTCCCTTCTACTCCTAGGTCTTTTTGGAGAAAATCAGACAACAGTATGTGTTTACTGAAAGGTCATCGCACAGATCTTTCTCTCCTCTCAAGGGCAGTCCCAAACTTCCCCTAGCTTCTTTCCTCACTTAAGCTGTCTCTAATCTCTTGCTTTCATTCTCGGCAGAAACCTAGTTTTTAAATTTGTGTTAACAATGACAAATTTGATTCCTAAGTAAATTTGATTCCTAATAATGACAAATTTGTGTAGAGCAAAAAGCTTTGAATGCTTTATTTTGTTTACACATGGCAATAGCTCAGTGAGTTAGAGTAACTATCCTTTTTTCACCAAAAAGGAAACAGATTCTGTGAGAAGTTAAAATGACTTGTCCCATGAGTGTACAGTATATTTCGAATAACCAATTACCCAAATTTATTGGCTTAAAATAATAATTCTTTACTATTTCTCAAGACATATGGGTTCACTGGCTGAATCTACTGCTCTGGGCTGGAATGACTCAGCTCTTGTCAAGTGGGATTTGGGGACAATTCAGCTTTGCTTCCTGTAGCTTCTTACCTCCTTCTATCAGGTTTATTCTCATAGAAATTACAGGTGCTCAAGAAAGGAAGGAGAAACACCCAACTGCTTTTCCAAACTCTATTTGCTATCATTTGAACCAAAGCAAAGCACATGACTGATCCCAGAATCATAATGAGAGGAGACTACAGAATGCTGGGCAAAAATAACCCATTAATTTGGACTATAAATGAAACTTATCTACCTCATATAGCTAATAAGTTGAATAAATAAGTTTCAAGATCAAATCTCTTTCAACACAGAGTTCATTTTCTTTACTATAACAGAACAACGTAGACTAGGTAATTCATAAAAAAAGTTGAGCTATATCATGCCTCAGTTAAGTATTCAAAAGAATTAAAGTTAAATTATAGTATTCCATACTATAGCAATATATGCATACCTGTGTTTATAGAAGAACAATTCCAATAGCCAAATTGTGGAAACAACCTAGGTGTCCATCAATAGGTAAATAGATAAAGAAAATATGTATGTATACACAATGGATTTCTAGTCAGGCATAAAAAAGAACAAAATTACGTCATTTGAAGGAAAATGGATGGAACTTGAGAGCATCATGTTAAACAAAATAAGCTAGACCCAGAAAGTCAAGGGTTATATATTTTCTCCCATATGTAGGAACCAGAGGGATAAAAGTGGGAAAAGGGGGTGTGCAGGGGGGTTGGTCTTGTAGAATATTGAAGGGAGATGGTAGAGTAGAAGAAGCAGTGGGAAGGACAGGTACTGGGAAAGGAGAGGTCATGGGGAATGAAATGAAAATATAATATTATGTGTATGTATGGATATGTAACAATGGGGTCCACTATTAAGTATAATTATAATAATGTACCAATAAAAACAGGAAATTTATTTCTCACAGTTCTAGAAGCTAGAAAGTCCAATGTCAAGGTATCTGTATCTGGAAAGAGCCTTCTTCTTTTGTCATCCCATGGCAGAAAGGAAAAGAGAGAATAAGATTTCAAGAGAATGAACTTACAGCCTGAATCCCTTTTGTGATCAGTATTAGTCTCTTCGTGACAGCAGAGTTCTCGTGGCCTAATCACTATTCAAACCATGGCGGTTTCTGTCTCCAGATTCTGGCTGCTTATTTCCTTCATAGTTCCTCTTTTATCTGTCCCCTTAAGTGCTGGCACTTTTGCCCCCTCCTCCAGGATTTTGTTCTTGATTTATTTTTTTTCTCACTACATAGTCTCTCTGGAAGATCCCTAGAGGGCCAAAGCAACTATCTCCATCTTTTTGTTCATTCCTGCACATAAAACCTACATATCTTCTTGTAAGTTCCCATCTTGATAAGACAGCATCTACCTGGAAATGATCCTACATAACATATGTTATCCTCCATAACCAAGGTATTGACATTTTGGGCCAGATATTCTTTGTTGTGAGACCTATGCTGTGCATTGTAGGATCTTTTGCAAAATCCCTAACTCCATTTACTAGATGCCAGTAGAATGTCCCTTCCCTGTGTTGTATCAAGGTCCAAAATCTCCAGATACTGCTAAATATTCCTTGGGGAAGTGGGCAATTGCACCTGGTTAAGAGCTACGCTATATCATCATCCACTCCTGTAGATTTAACATTTGTAGCATTTGTTCCTTCTTGTCATTCTTCTTATAACTCATTCAATTAAATTCCACATGGCTTTGTGTCAACATTCTCCAATTGCCTCCTATCTGGCTGTGGAAGACAAGCTAACTAACACAATAGTCCATATGGATTCAAATCTTCCTTGCTTCCTTACACACACACACACAAAAAAAAAAAAAAAAACAAAGAAAGAAAGAAATACTTGTTTTTCAGCCTCACTTGCATCTAGGAATAGCCAGGTGACACAATTCAGCATGACAGTCAAACTGTGGAGTCATTCATCTTGTGTTGCAACTCGGCCTCATCACTCTGATAGTTGTGTAGCATTAGCAAAGTTACTTAAATTCTCTGTGCCACACCACTGAGACTGGGAATAATAATAGTACCAACCTTATAGTACTATTGTGAAGATAAATGAGTTAATATGTGAAAAACCAGCCTCTACCTCAGAGCAAAGCCTGTCCAAGGAAGGGACATCACCTTTGTCCTTGGAAAAACCCACAGAGCACCCCTAGGCACATTCCCACCCTGCTAATGGTTTATCTACAAATAACAGGAGAGATCTGCTATCCCTGACTCAGTCAGGCTAGGTGGGGACCCATAGCAACCCCCTAGCAACCACCAATCAGCATGAGACAGGGAAATACCTGGGATGCCAGATGACCCTCCCAGTAGTTTATGCAGAAACCATGCAGTTCAGCACGTACACCCCTCTTGGCTTAAACCAACCAGTTCAAATGAACACCCCTTTTGTACTGACCAATCACCTCTACCCAACTTGTTCCCACCAGTGAATGTGCTAATCATGTTTTAGAGTTGTTATTTGATTTTCCCGAGGTGTGTGATGATTTGCTATGATGTATGTGAAGTCCCTGCCTTCTCCAAAGAATGTATAAAACTGCTGCAAACCCTGGGCTCAGGGCCTCTCAGCGTCACCAGTTGCTGTGTGTGCGCGCACACGGAGGACTGAGCTAGCTTGCAATAAATACCTCTTTGCTGCTTACATCAATCTTGGATCTGTGGTGGTCTTTTGGGGGTCCCGAATTCGAGCATGACATATGTACAAAGTGTCTAGTACTGTGGGTGGAAGCAAACACTGGGTAAAAATGGTGGCTTTGATATGAAGATGATGGTGATCATGTAATCTTTTATTCTCTGTCATCTCAAATATCATTATTTCACATCCTATCCTCCATGACTACAATATTCACCTTTTGACTCAGTTCAGGTTAGACTTCCTCTAGAAAATTTTCCTCTCACCTATTCCTTTCTACATTTGAAGGCCTTTCTCAGATCTTACTTGGTTTCCTCCTGCTCCTAGGCTATGAATTCCTACAAGGCAAGGACCAGATCTTTCTCTCTAGGACCACCACAAGTGTTCAATACATATTGAATGTTCAGTAAAAGTCTGTGGACTAAATTAATGAGTGAATGAATATTGGTAGCATAGAACAATCTTGCAATTCACTGCACTCCCTTTTAAGATCAGAGGATAAAACTATCAGATTAAAAAACAATTCCAATTTTACTAACTTAGCAATCTATGGTCATTTTTGGAAAAGGTGGACTTTTAAACAAAACTTGAGACAAAGCTAGTGTAAATTGAAATAAAATCAACCAATTCTCTCTCTCTCTCTCTCACATACATACACACACACACACACACACACACACAATAAATAAAAGAAAGAAAAAGAAAAAAATAATTTTTTAAAGGAAACCTATTTCATTATCAGTAGCCTGGTAACTCCGGTTAAGCTTTTAAGTAAACTGAAGTCAGAGACTAAATTATTTTTAGGGTAAAGAGAAAAACTATACATGTGACTTCTAACTTTGCAAACATCCTTACACAACATTATTCTAAATAAGTTCATCTAAATTTGGGCAGAAGAGTGGCAATTCTAAGTGTTAATGGACAAAGATGTCACAGTTTTAACACTCCATTGATATACTTTCCAAAATGAGAAAATTTTAAAGTTGCCTTTTAATTAAAAGCCTCTTACACACACACACACACACACACACACACACACACACACTTTTCATCAGTTGTCTCCACTTAGCAAACTGTTAATAAATTAAAAATACTTAAATTTTCAGGAAACGAAGGGAGCAGCTATAATCTTGAATAATGCAGTGTTTTCATCCCCATCTCTTTGCAGAACAGTACCCAACCACAAATGGCTAAGAAGCTTTTCTTCCCTGGGATTAGACTTAACCATCTATCATTTGGCATAACCAACTCTGACAAGTGATTGATCTTCTCTAGATAAAAATTTATTAGATCATCTCTTTTAGGGCAAAGGAATTGTAGGCAGCTTTCTCCAAAATCCTTAAAACAAATCTTAAAATGAACTACTAAAACTAAGGAATTTCTCAAAAGATCCCCCAAGAAAAGTTATATTTCCTTTCCCCTTACAAAACAAGGGTCTCATATAACACACAAACAATGCACTCTTTAAAAGGTAATTTTCAGTGGTACAACCACAAGTCTCAATCCAATGTTCCACTTTCCCTGATGACAATAGCCCTTCAGCGACTCCTGTTTATGTCTTCTAGATGCTCATTGGTATCTGAGGTGACAACCAACACAGGGATGCCAAGGGTCATCAGGTGGTTGGTGGAGCGCCCGCAAGTCTCTCAGAGTTCCATGAGGTGTCCATGGGACCTCGCGCCCAGGCCAGCCGGGCTCCAGTGATAGGGCCACGATTTAGCCCGTCGTCGGGAGGAGGCTAGCGCCCCGGATTCACGTCGCCTCCACGCCCACCTCCTCCTGCAAGAGTCCCCTCCCATTGCCACTGCACGGACTCTCGGGTTGCCCTTATTGTTGTCCGCGTCTGTCACTTTGTGGGCCGTGTGACATGAATGGATGAGCTGGACACACCTTCTGTCCTTCTAGAAAAAAAAAAAAGAAAAAAAAAACCGTCCAGAGATCAATAGACCCCCCCCCCCCCCAGCGCTCCCAGAGTTTACGCGGCCGGTCAGGGGGACGCACCGCTTCCCCCTCCCACCCTCACTCCTCCCATCCCTTAAAAAAAGAAACGACCAACGCAAATAAATAATACCGTTCCAAGCCTGCGGCGTCCTCGGTGCCCTCTCCTCCACGCTGGGCTCAGCGCACTCCAGCCCGGGGGAGGCGGCGGTGAGAAGCGGTGGCCAGGTCCGGCGCGGGGCGCGGGCTAGAGGCGGGTGCAACTGGCCCAGCGGGCGCCGCACTATGCTCCCCAGCGCCGTGGCAGCGGGCGCGTACTGGGACGTGGTGGCTTCCTCCGCGCTCCTCAACCTCCCCGCAGCGCCGGGCTTTGGCAACCTGGGCAAGAGTTTCCTGATCGAGAACTTGCTGCGGGTCGGAGGCTCCCCAGTCCACGGGCTGCAGCCACCCCCACCCCACGGCCCCGCGGCCTCCCTAGTCACAGCTGGGGGCGCGCAGCTCCGGCCCCTGCCCGCCAGCCCCGTTCCCCTCAAGCTGTGCCCAACAGCCGAGCAAGTCGGCCCCGCCGGGGCACCCTACGGCACGCGGTGGGCATTTCAAGTGCTCAGCCCCTCGGCGGACGGCAGCCTCGCGCCGGGCCGGGCTCCGGAGGACCGAGACTGTGCTTTCCAGCCTTCTGCCCCAGGTGAGCCAGCTCTTCCTTTCTCAGCCGCGCCCAGGCGGGCGCCCCACTGGGCTCGCCAGCATTGCGCACTGCACCAAGGGAGTGCCAGCCTGGGACCTTCCTGGAGCATGTCGAGATTTAGTGGAGATGCCACTTGGGGAGTAAGAGGGAACCACCACTTTTTGTGATTATTATTATTATTTTTTTGCCCCATCTCAGCCCATAGTTTCTGTCCTGTTTCCTTCTTTGGACAGGTGGTAGGGCTACCTTGACTTTGGGGCTTTAACGGGAAAACCCTGAAGGCACCTCTAACCGGAAAGGGCATCTCAGTTCCGAGATGCCTGTGAGGCTGGACCAGTTTCCTGGGGTTTCCCAAGTACAGTGTTTTTAGTCTCCCCGCTCCTGTTCCGAAGGCCGCCTTCGGGAAAGTTCTTGGCAAGGAGAGTCCAGAGGTCCGCTTTGCGGACTGTTGCCATCCACCCTTGTGACGGTCTGGGTTGTTCAGGAAAAGGTCTTTGGAAGAAGAGTTGAGAAAGTTTTGGCTCTCTTTCCCCTTTAACATTTTGGAACATTTTAGGCGCAAAGAAATCAAGGCCGACTTTTTTTTTCTTCGCGCTGAGCTGAAAAACAGCTGAATTGGCAACTGGAGTAGGAAGTTCACCAATAAATGGGAATTTACCAAGAGAAGGACAGTTTGGGTTTACGTTAGTTTTACCGTATAGAAACTAGCTTTGTACCGTGTTATTTATTTGCGTTGGATTGGGACGAAGAATGCAGACTGTTGAGTCAAACATTAGGTAAAGTTTATAGGGAGGCTGCCGAAATTAGCGATGATAAAAGGATATGTTTCTTAGAGACTTGGAAACTGAGATCCAATTGGATTAATTTTTGGCTGCGTCCTTAGACGATCTTAACTCATTCTTTTAATCCCAGTGGGTTTGTTCAGAATGACTAATAGATGCTTTTTCAGCATTTTCCATTGTCCCAGCAAACTGCCGGATCAAATTTATTACTAATGGCTTTATAGAATTTAACATGTTTAGAACCTGTCCTAGTCTTTCAGCTTGAAATGATTACTAACAGAATGGAACAAATATAATTATATGAACAAATATAATTATATGAACACAGGTCTCATTCACATAGTGTAAAACCTAAATGCATTTAGGAACAGGAATAGATAAAGTTAAGGCAAGGCATAAGTGTGGACCGCTTTGCTTTTGAAATATGAGGAAAATTAGAAACACGTAAAGCAGGGTTACATAAACAAAGAATTAGTAAGTAATCTCATAAATTGTCAAGAAACTTTGTTGATTTGAATAACTTGATGGATTGGTATTGTGTTTGTAGAAATTATTTTTAAAGAATTCTTAAATTGTTAGTGATTGGCTTCTTAACCATGAAAAAATACATAATTTAAACTGTGAGGATTTTACCAATTAAATAAACCAAATGCACATCAAATTCAGATTGTTCAATAACTATTAAAATTATTTCATGTATGTATCCATTTCTTTCAAAATATCACAATGGGTGGGCAAAGGATTTTCTAACTATGTTGTTTTTATTTTCAGGAGCATATTCATTCTTGTGCACATATTAAAGTATAAAAACTCAAAAATTATTTTTTGGAATAAATAAGAGGGTACAAGAATATATATTTCCTTTTAAATGAAAGATTAAGCGTATATATTATTAAATGTTTTGGTCAACCCTCATGAAGACTTGATGTGTTCCTAGGTTAATTTTCACTTGAACAAACAACCTTTTGTTTCAAAGGGCATTTTTGTAAAGAATGCATCTAATTTTTGAAAGTGGGAAAATATCTAAAGAAGGAAAAAGCCCCATAAGTTTGTGCTATTTAAAACCAGAATTTACATTTATTTTTATAATTTAACAAATGATATAATTTTCTGAACATTGTCCTAGTTTTATTTAAGTGACAGATTCTTGTCTTACTAAATGTCATAGAAATTCTTTATGTAGTGTAAATTATGAAGTTATAATGAGTGCCAATGATTTTAGCTGTTACCTGGAAATTAGGTGAGTATGAACTAGTGATTGATGTTCTGTAGAGAGCATAAAAGGGCTATTGTTTTCAGAAAGATAACAATATTTCTTTTTGAAATGTCAGTGAACAATTAGTACTAATCTTTTAGACACTAACTTGGGGTAAATTTATAAAATATGATTTTAATAATTTGTACATATTGACAACCCACTTTATTTCAAACTTAATTTGTTGATTGCATCTGTCTAGATGTTGAATAAGGACATGCAGAGTTATTTTTAAGTGCATTAATGAAATACAGCATTATTTAAAATTTAAGGGATTTATGCCACTATGTGTATTTTTGCTTCATAATTTTGATTACCTACTACTAATTATACTATATATTTAATTTAGCAAATGCTTACTGAGGGTGTCTCATGTATCAACTTCTGTTTTAGAATCTTGGCATAATAATGGAACAAAAGAAATAACTACCCATGTGGGGGCTTACATTCCATGTTCTATAGTGTTCTATAGGTTACCAATCAATCATTCATTAGCTTTTTTAATCTTCATAATGGGCCAACAAGTTAGCTGTTGGGATTCATCTCTTTCTACAATGAAAAATATTGTTTCACTTACTAATTTTATTTCCATCCCAAATATTACTTGAAATATCTGTGGTGTTGTGAAGCAGAAAAAGTTTTTTTTCCTCCAAATCTTCAAATTAGCACTTTAGTTTGCCTTCATTGACTATGATAACCTGAAAAGGAATGGGACAACCAGTTGTATTCCAGTTACCCTAATAAATCAGATTATGATTTTATATTTCAGCTTATAAGGAAAGAAATTGACTTTCTTGTCATAAGACATATCTGAAAGGTGGGGACAGGTGAGTGGTAACCCAGCTTTACAGGTCATGGATGAAAGTATAGCTGTCAGTGCTTCATCCTGAAAACTGACAGGTTTGAATATTTAGAGCAAGAAAAGGAACACTGCAAATTATGTATTGTTCAATTGTTTATATAAAATAATTTTAACACATTCCTTTATAATCAAAGAATATCCTGGAAGGTTTGAGAGGGGCACATTTAGTTTAGTAGTGTGTAATGAATAGATTCACCTCCACATTTTTTATCTGAGAAAAAAAAAAGTCTCAGACCTGTTATAGTTTATTAGTGGAAATTTGGAGGCTTTCTGAGTAAAATCCTAATGGTCAAAGATCCTCCCTCCAAAGTTCGCTAATGTCAGTATTTGGAAAGTATTGTTATAGATTTAAATACCCACATGCTTATGTATAAAATTATTTGGAATGCGAAAAGCTGAGTATTTTTAATTTATCTTGGTTATGAGAATGCCATGAATTTTCAAATTGATGGTAATGACATCGGTGTTCTTCAAAATAAATAGAACAAATAGTTTTGCTTTTTAGTAACATTTGTTATTTAAAATATTTTAGAAATAATTGACAAAACCTATTTTGTATTAAATCTTGTGTACTGCATATAAAATGATTGGAAAGACGATGTTCATTTTGGATAAGTAAGTTTGTTATTTTTTGTTAAAAAGTAATTTTGCCAAGTGAGTGGTACTCTATAGGACAGAAATGGAAGATCCTTAGTATTTTTTGTTGTCATTCAGCTAGGGTTGTTTACCTATTATTCCTTGATTTTGTCTGAAATTACATACACTTATGTTTTGTGTTCAAAATGGTACTTTATTCCTCATTTATTGAGATACACTGAAAATCGGAAGTGATATAGACTGTCATACATTTTAGGCAGTTGGAATATGGATAAAGGATGAATCTGTGTTCAAAGCGAGGATTCCAGTCTAACTGAAGACTTTGTGATCTAATTTAATTCAGTTTGTAATTTTTGTTGCCAAACTAAGCTCTAGATTTGTTTTGGAAAAATGAAATATTGCAATCTTAAATGTTAATGCTGACCCAGAACCAGGATGAGAGTGTCGACCCAGAACAGAACAATGATAGTACCCATGCTAGCAGTTTTTTTACTCTGGCCATTAGCCCAGCATTCCTTTGGTAGAATTTATAGGTAATATCAGAACCATATTTTGCTCTATCTGTATATATTTTTATTCTGCTTAATATATCTTTGTAGGTAACTTATATCAATACCTTTTACATAGTTTCTGAATAATCTGCTGTGAACAAATTGTTAAATGGCCTCTAAGTTCATCAATACCTTCAGGTTTGAGAAATTCTTGCAATAAATAGTACTGATAGAACTTATAGGTAGTCCTTTTATGTTTGGTACTGATGGAGTAAGCCACACTCCTTAGAAAATAATATCTGAGTTGCAGCTACAGTGGGACAACAATTTATGTACACTTAATTTGCCTTCAACTTTAGCATCTCTGTTCATCTCCTACCCCCAATACATGCTTCTCTACTTTGTTCAACCAAGTCAATCACAATATGGTAACTTATATTTAAGCTATTGAGGTTTAATAACAAAATAAAGGAGTAAATCCAGCAGTCAAATAGGAACATTTAGTATTTTGTACTAACTCTTATTTACTTTAGATATTTGAGGGGTAATTTTAAGAGGTAAAATGGGATTGAATGCCCAGAAATTTAAGTACAGGCTTATGTAGAATTTAAAAATAAAGATACTAAGTAAGGGTACCACATGTGATGGGCTATTTAAAGGGATTGTCAAGTTGACTTTATCTATTGATCTGCCTATCTATCTAGACTTTTTTTTTTTTTTTTTTTTTAGTGGTGCTAGGGACAGAAACCAGGGCCTTGCACATGCTAGGCAAGCACTCTACCACTGACCTCTGTCCCTAGCACTTTATCTATGTTTGCTTGCCATCATTGTGGCTCAAATCTTGGAACCTAAACTGTGCTTTGGACTTCCTCTTTGTATGTGTCACTTCATTCTTGTTCTTGTGCCCACCAGAAAACATCTCTCTTTGCTGTAAGTAGATATTTCATGGTTTTGTTTGCCGCTGAACAATGATAGAAATGATAACAACTTGAAAGTATCCAAGGAGACAGCCTCTCTGCATTTCTGTTTAATAGTTTTGTTCATAAAATGCTTTGAGATTCTTTGACATAGGAAAGGTTTTTACAGAAGTAAAATGTTCTGTTGACATTGTTCATAACTTGAGAATCCATCTTATTTGTTTTGAGGGAATTTTATTTGCTGCCCTTAAAATTTTTTCTTACAGTTTTTTTTTTTTTTTTTTTTTTTTTTTTTTATGGTAGTGGGGCTTGAACCCAAGGGTGTTTTACATTGAGCTACACCCAGAGCCATTTTTTAAAAAAATTTTGAAACAGGGCCTCATTAAGTTACTGAGGTTGGTCTTGAACTTGCAGTTCTTCTATCTTAGCCTCCCTAGTCACTGAAATTACAGGTGTGCACCACTATACCAGCTCCTATTTTTTTTTCTTTATATACAGTGTAAGTACACATTTTAGACCAGTTTAAATAACTTAAGTTTTCATTGAAATGCACCTGGAGTCTGCCAGGAGT